TAAATTAATTTTTGTTATAACTTTAATATAATTTTAAATTAATTAAATATCAAATTATTGAACCATATTGTTTAACTCATATTTTGATTCATTATTGTTATTAAGCTTATCTATAATAACTTTACTATTAGGGGACATGGTTTCATAATTGTTGTTATTAAACTGAGTTATAATAAGTAAACTTGACCTTTCACTATTAACTATAGGATTATATTCCTAATAATCGTGACTACTACTTTAAAATAACTGTTTCACACACGTAAAAGCATCTATAAAAGTAATAAGAGAATTTTTTTTTTTGTTTTAATTTGTTTTCTACTAATTAAAAAATCATTCAATCATGAACTCATCAGTCTTTACTTCAAATAGTTCTAACATAATTCTATTATAACATTTATTTATCATTTGTCATATTGAATATTAAATTAAAATTTATGCTACATATTTTTTTATAATCAATTATCTTTCTTTTTTATCAATGTAAAAAAAATCTTATTAAAAAAGAAAAAAGTTTTATGAGATCTAAACGTATAAACAAAATTAATATTGTTAAAAAAGTTGAAAATTAAAATATTTAACCAGTATGATTTTTTGAATTAATTTGAATTATTATTTTTTATATATAGTGAGTTTCATTATTAAATAAGCTTATTGTGAGAGATAAAATTCACTTTACAATATTATTAATTTTTAGCTATGGGCTAGGAGATAAGTTTAATACCAAAGAAAAAAAATTATACATAGAGATTAATTTTACTTAATACAACACCACACACACCAGAATGGACTGTGATGAATTCTAGAATGGTAGTCTTATTGCTACCGTTGTCAGCAATGGTGATGTAACTCAGCTTTACAATTGCTAGATGACTCGTTATTTGCACACTATATTCTATTTGATGATGACATCTTATCTGTTGATAAGGGAAATGACTTTATAGTTAAGATGGTGGAAGAGGAGAATGAGGAAGGAAAAAGGGAAGAAGAAAATGATAAATAGTGATATATAAAAAAAATTTAACCCAGTTTAATATTATAAATAGAAAAATTTTATTTAAAATTTATTTAAAAATTAAAAACAAATAAAATAAAACAAACATAAAAGTTAAAAGTCAATTTACTAATTTCATTTAAATTTCTATAATTTCATAAGCTTGACCTTTAATAGATTATAGTATTATACATTTACAATTTAATAGAATAACAATTATATAACTATTACAAGGTTACTGATTATTATTATTAATTGAAATAGGCCACCAAAAGATCAAGAGGGTTTTATAATAATATAAAGTGGGGCGTTTTTAACTTTGAAAAAAACATTGACGCAACTAATTTTATAAATACAATTTATATGAACTTTATGTGCGTTAGGCCATGACTTTCGCTCAACGAGTTTAGCCTATTTCTTCCTTTAATCACGATCACTTCAAGTATATCAACTAATTTTTGTCCTTCTTAATATATTTATTCCCATTTAATGATTCCCCCTACTATGAAGTTTTTTAAGAATAGTCTATCTTTAATTAATATGTCTTTTAATTACAAACCTATTTTTATTAATTATTAAAAATTTTAATTTTTTTATAAAATTTAAATTTATTTGTATAATATATTTTTAATTATCTATTAATAGTTTCTTTAAAAGTGATTCGATGGAGTTTAAGAAAAGTGATTTTTTAAAAAATAAATAATTCAAATGAGCACTTAAAATAAAATTTTTAGATTTAAATATGAAAGCTTCTTATTTTTAAGTGTCAACTTTTTTCTTTGATCACTGATCTATACATTTTTGTGAATATTTAATTATAGTTCCTCTTAACGTGGTTTATTGACGTGGTTCATTAAAAAGTTGTCATATGTAAATTTATCATTTGAGCACATTAAAAATAACGATGTAAACTAAAAAATTACAAAAATGATATAAACTAAAACTAAAGAAAAAAGTTTGAAGAGAGTAAAAGGAAAAAATTATAAAGATTAATTTCATATTTAAGTCAGAGTTTTAGCTTATTATAAGTGAATTGAGTATAAGTTTGTATATAATGTACTTTATGAATTAAACCAGCATATAGTATGTGTAAATTTTTTAGATGATACTATTTCTTATTTGCAAATATAATTGAAACACATTTCTAGTTTTAAGAAGTAGAGTTATTGTGTCTCAATTTAGTTTAATTTTTACTTGAAAAGTCATTTAAACTGTACATAAAAATAATATGTACTTTAGTTCAGTTTAAATATAATTTAAAATTGAATAGCAAAATATTGATTTGATTTATATTGATTTTTTAATATTTTATTTATTATTAAATTAATTTTCAAAAAAATTGTTTTTTATTATGTGACTTTTAATCTATTTTTAAATTTAAAGTAACTGATGACTCAAAAATTGAAATGAATTTGTTGAAAAAAATGATGATTAAAGGGATAAAATTATAAAATAATAATAAATTATTGCTAGAAGAAAATATACTTATTATTTATGCAACATTACGATAAAAATTGAGAAAAAAATAATTTTTATACAAAAATACAATAAAAATAACAGGAATTTATAAAAGTAATAGAAACATATAAAAATAATTTTTAGCTGCTTGATTGTACTCTTTGTAACTATTCGTGGATACTCACATTTTTCTAAAGTTTTTATAAATGATTTTTTTTTTTCTATAGTTCAATTATCACAGAATTCAAATTATGTTTTAAGTTATACATGACTCAGATTGAATTTTTTATCTTCTTAATTACCAAGTGGTAGTGATATTATTTAAGAAGGAACATAACAAGAAATAGAAGTCACAGCAAGGTTAAATAATATCAAGTCTCTCACATTTTTAAATAGGGAAATAAATGTATTAAATATTCGTCCTAATTTTGATTGCAATTATTAGACAAATTTAGTTATTTTTCATGTCTCTGTTGTAAATGTCTTAATATTTATTAGATGATATAATATGATTGTTTTCAATTAACAAATTGTCTCTTATTTTTATTAATCTGTGTTTTGTAAATCATTTTTGCTCAACGTTTGGATTCATCCTATCTTATCAATTTTTCTTATTTCAATATTAATTTTGATGAGTTTGAATTTTTAAAATGTGACCTGATATATTTTTGAAGAATCGATTCGAGTTGTCCTAACTCCTAATCCAATGTAATGTTTTGGTTTTTTTTTTGAATTTTTCCAAGAGCACTATAGGATGGAAAAAGATACATACATTTTTTGAATTTTATAAAAATTGTGGATCTCAAAATATAAATAAGACTTTAAAGTGTATTAGATAATATTATGTGTATTATAATATTATATTTGTACTATTCATTTTAAAATGCATACTAAAAATAATACTTTAGTTTATACTCAATTAATTTTATAATTTAAATATACATAAAATTAAAAATATACTCAATTATATCTTAATTTAATTAAATCAAGTTCCGGTTGATTTCAATAGCGAGAAAATGATTCTATTAGTTTCATGTTAAGAAAAAGCGTTCATATACAGTGGGTTGGTCTGTGAGCTTGTTGGAAAGACAAATTCCAATAAGACAAGGGTGCACGTGTCACGGAGCAATAGGTGAATGACTCCTCGGAATAGATGTGGCGAGTGACGTTATCAAGCTCCATGGACCACTTTTTTCCCCGTTTGGAATTTGAAATCCCATCCCTCTCGAGAGAGACGTTATAAACTCTCCCCATTTTTATAATGCAAACATATTTCAAAAAATGCGTTTTTTTAATTTTAATACAAATTTTACAATTATTTCATGCAGCCAAAATTCTCGTTTTTGTCTCCATTTATTCACACTTCAAACTGTGTCTTTCTCTCTCTATTCCTTCACTTCACTCCCTTCTCTCTCTCACCCCAAAATTTTCCCGTTTGGCTTCAACTTCTCTGTGATTGTCAGTTCTATAGCTTCAAAAACGCCTTTCTGACTTTCGCATTGAGGGAAAACAGATGCATTCAATGCATTCGTGGAGAGTGCTTCATCCTTCTCGTTCACTCTACGCAAATGCTTAACATTGCTGATCCACCTAATTGTTTCAAGGTAAGTCCTCTATTCTAAGCCAAAGTTTGCATCTTTTCGTCTTTTTCTTTAATGGTTTCTTCATGTTTGCTTCTTCCTTTTTAGATTTGTGTTTGAATTTGCCACTTGTTTTCCCATGTTGATTCTCCGTTGCCATCGTGTATTGTTTTTAGAGTTTTGATTCGGACGAAGTCGTTATTCCATGAATGACCTGAATTTGGTGTTTTGGGGGTTCTCTACTCGTTGTTTGGATGGTGTGGATAATTTCATAGATTGGGAACAAGTTTAAACCTGGTTTGTTTGGATGGGAATTAGTGCCTGTGTATAAGCATAGTTTGTACATGACTGTTTAAATTTGAATAAATGAATATATTGTATTAGACTAGAAATTTAAGATACTTAAGAGCCACAAAACCTTTGTTTTATCATCAATACTGGACTATGATCTTTTCATTAAGATTTAGTATATACACACTGGATCTCAGCTCAAATTTATACTATGGATCTTTAGATTTTTCTACTTGATTAATTGGACCCAGCTATCTTACTTTCTATTAATTTAGAGTGCATGAATAAGATCAGGAAAGATGCGACACCATTTTGTTCGGGTAGATTTTGCTCTTTTTTATTTATTTGGTTTTCCCTAAGAATTACTAGTGGTCCACTAGTATATAATTGCTTGCTTCCAAAGGTGATTTTTAGAAAAGAGACCCATCCTATTGAAATTTTTGTGATTGTTTGTTTGAATTATTTTGTTTTAGATTGCTTCAATTAATTGTTGGTGAAATATTCTGTTCCTGTGACTTAATGTTCACATATGAATATACTTTTTTCCTGTGACTTACTGTCCACATATGAATATACTTCCAAAGAATTATTTTGTTTTAGATTGCTTGAGTAAATCTTTATATAATTCTTGCTCTACTAACATTGTTAATTTTTCTTGCCAATTCTTTCCTGATGCATCTTGAAGGTTTACTGAATTTCTTCTTTGAAAATGGGAGTTGAAAAAGAAGGGACCAGAAGTGGGTTTTTCCATTTGTTTGACTGGACCTCGAAATCCCGGAAGAAATTATTTGCAACCAAATCAGATTTACCAGGTACATCACATGTACTGCAAGTGTAGAATACACAATATTTTATCTTTTGTCTATTGTATATTTGTATTACTTATATAGTTTTTATTGGTATATTCATTCTGTTTACTGTTGGAAATTCTTTCTACACCATTTGCAGATCCTTTAAAACAGGGAAGAAAAGTAGATTACAATGTGGCAATGGCACAGCCCTATCTGGTGGCGATATCGCTATCACTTGCAATCTCAACTGTTGTTTTAATATATTTATATGTGTATGAAATTAGATAATTACTTGTTTAATTCTTTCAGGTGGATGAAGATGAAAATGGATTAGGGGCAAGTGTTCGAGGAAGCTGTGATCATAGTTATGCTTCATCTGTTACAGATGATGAAGCATGTGGGACAAGGGCCCCTAGTGTTGTTGCCAGGCTTATGGGATTAGATTCCTTGCCTACTTCTAATTTTTCTGATCCTTATTCTACCCCATATTTTGATATGCGATCCCTTCAAGAGACACAGTGTTTAAGAAAAAACCTCAGTCACCAACATGAACATCAGTCCCCATATTCTACCAAGCTGGTTGAAAAGGTTGAGGGCTCTTCTAGGAACTTCATGGAACCAAAGCCTCAGAAGACCATTAGCAGGCCAATTGAAAAGTTCCAAACAGAAGTATTACCTCCAAAATCAGCTAAATCAATTCCTGTTACACACCATAAACTTTTGTCCCCAATCAAGAGTCCTAGCTTTGTTCCAACCAATAATGCTGCTTATATAATGGAGGCTGCAGCAAGAATTATTGACCCTAGAATCCAGGCTACTACAAAGGCTAAGACACCTATGGTAGGATCATCAACCATGTCATTGAGAGTTAGAGATCTTAAAGATAAGGTGGAGGCTTCACGAAAAGGACCTCTAATTGGGCCATCCTCCATGACTTCTAGAGCACGAGATCTAAAAGAGAAAAAAGAATTTGCTCAAAAGACAGCCAGGCTTTCAGAACCTTCTCAAAGATCAGTTGAGTCAAATGCTGCTAAGTATCTCAAAGGCCAATCTTTGAACAGAAGCTGGAATGGATCTGTGGATACATCCATCAAATCTCCTAAACATGAGCAAGAAGATTCTTCTTTGAAGAATAAGGGGAAGTCCATTTCACTTGCAATCCAAGCAAAAGTGAATGTTCAAAGAAGGGAAGGTTTGAGTTTGACAGGTGGCAGAAGTTTGATGGGCCAAGAGCATCTTGATGTTAAATCCAACCAACCAATGAAGGCAAATGTTCAGAAAAATTTGCATAAGAAATCTTCCGGTGCCCTCAGACAGAATAATCTGAAACAAAATTATTCATTTGAAAAAGAAAAATTACCATCAAAGCCATTGGTTACCAATTCCCACAGTAGGAAAGTTTTGACTGGGGATTCTTCTTATGGACGTCATAGAAGCTCTAGTAATAAATCCAGCGCAAAATCTAAAGTTGGATCCAGAAAGTCAGCCATGGAAGTGACAGATAGTGAAAAGGAAGTTTTGTATACCAGCACAAACAGTTTTCCTAGGAAGAAAAGGTCTACAGACAAGGACTGGAATGATAGGGTTGTGGATAATTTGTTCATTGAAAAAACTCAGAAGCCAGTTAAGTCTAATCTAGTGAGTAATAAACAATATAGTTTGGCTGAAGAAGTAAAAAAGAAAGACATGGATGTAGTTTCCTTCACATTTACCACACCATTAACTAGGGGGAGTCCAGGTTTTGAGTCATCTGGACAAGCTGGCCAGAATGCTAATGGTCTTTCCTTGGATCAACGTATTAAAAGAGTGTTGCTTGACACTGAAAATACAAGGTCTCCAATAGGATACAATGTGATTGGTGGTGACGCCTTAGGTATCCTTTTGGAACAGAAATTGAGGGAGTTAACACGTAGTGCAGAAACTGCATGCCATGACTCTTCTAAAGTGAGACAACCTTCCATTACTTCACCAATGTCAAATGATCAAGTAACCAGCCTTAATTTAGTTAACCTCAATCCAAGGTTACAACAGAAGAAAGACCAAGATGTGTTATTTACGGACAAGTTAAGCAGTAGCGGTGATTCAGACATCTCCTTCACTGGTCCCCCTGAATTATCACTGAAACATAACTCATGGGTATGTGACAATATTTTTATTCTTATTGGCTATTTTGTTTTTTAGTGTTTATCACTCAAGCAGGTCAATCAGAACAATATAGTTTATAATTATTTTTCATAGGAAGTTAATAATTTACTTGTGTTAATGTCTACGTGGTTACTAATAAAAAAACTGACTTTTTTATTCTTTGATGCTACTTGGTAATTTTTTCTTTAACAATTTTTGCCAATATGCATTTCACTTTGTAGTTATACATCAAAGATTTTCCTGAAGAAATGCAGATGAAGTGAAATAATCAGTCAATTTCTTAGACTATTTCTCGACTTCATGCATATGACTCTTTGGCCATGATTTCATTTTTGGTGCTTGGCTGCTTGAAATTTGTGGTTTAGCTTGGTCTTAGGCTCTTACCTGTTTTACTATTTCTCTGTAGTTTTATGTTAGACTTGGTTCTAAGGATATGATCAGCAGTTTTTGGCTGTATTTTTTTCACATTTAACTTGAATCAGATTTGAGTTTTTAGTCAACCACATCTAAGTTAGTCGATTGTGATATGTGGTTAAATCATGTGACAGATGACCAACTTTTATTATACAGTTACCAAAGTTGGGTTTTTAAAATAAAATGTGATTAAAATTACAAATTGTAACAATACCATGGAAAGAACCAACTGCATTGAATAATCACTCACCCTTTTACTAATTGATGGCATACTCCTATGATTTTGTCTCAATAGGTCATTAACTCGTTGTTTACAGGTTGACGAGATAGAACCACAGTTATTCAATTGTCGACACCCAAGTCCAATATCTGTTCTTGAGCCTTCTTTTTCAATTGAAAGCTGTGAATCTTCAATGAGCACAGATGTTACTAGTACAGAAGGTATCTATGCTAATATATGGTTGATTAATTGCTGATTTTAAAATCAGTTATTTCATGACTCAGGTGTTGTGCTCATGAGGTTGAAACTAATTACCTAATCTTAACTATCTGCTTTCAGGAAGCAAGTTGTGGTCATCTGTTCAAGCTCAAGAAGTTAATCGCTTAAATTTTTCAAGAAAGTTCTATCCTTGTGAATCTGATGCAGAGTTATCTGATTCAGCTTCTTCAACATCAGCTGGCACCATGTTGAAGAAGCACGCAAGCGCATCTTCTGTCATGAAGTTTAGAAGCTCAAGCACATGGGAGTTGGACTATGTGAAAGATATATTGTGTAATGTTGAATTGATGTATATGGAGTTTTCCCTTGGTCGAGCTCATGAGGTTGTAAACTCTCATCTATTCGACCACTTAGAAAGTCAAAAGGGAAGGTTCAAGAGTGACGATCAATCCAGGGTAAGAAGGAAAGCTACATTTGATTGTGTGAGTGAATGTTTGGATTTAAGAAGCCGGTGTTATGTGGGGGGAGGATACACAATGTGGAGCAAAGGGTTTGAAATGGTGAAAAGAAATGAATGGTTGGCAGAAGATGTGTACAAGGAGATTTCAGGTTGGAGTGGCATGGGGGATTCAATGGTAGATGAGCTTGTGGACAAGGACATGAGCAGCCAATATGGAAGATGGCTCGAATACGAGGTTGATGCTTTTGAACTTGGATCAGAGGTTGTGGACCAAATATTTGATTCTTTGGTTGATGATGTTGTCACTCAGATCTTGCAATTGTAAACACCTTAATGATTGATTTTGAGGCTGTTTGATTATGATTAAAGATTGTCCTCTTACTGATTCATTTATAGAAGTAGCATTATCAAATCGAATCTTTATGATAGTTTTTTGGTGATAGGAGTTAGTTACTGCTTTTCACTTGGTGGCATCTCTGGATGACTTGAACAAGTGATCATTTTAGATGTCACCCTCAGTGACTTTATACAGTACACTAGTACAGCTTTGACATCAGCTTTGACATTGATCACAATTGTGCAGTAATTCAGTTTACGTGGTGAGTTGGCATGTTTGGCTAAATTGATTTTGAATTCTTTTTTAAACTAAAAGAAATAGTTATTTTTCTTTGAAAAAAAAAACAACTGAGTGAATGAATACCTATTGCTATCATTTCCACCATTTTATAATCAGTGGTTTGGCATTCTTGCAATGGAAGGATGAATGCATATCTCAATCAAATCTTCTAATCCCCAATACAACTTTGAGCAACTGACAGAAAATAACAGAAGCTTCAAATGAAACCTGCAGGAAAATTTGTTACCTTACATTATTTATAGTTTTAGTATTTGAAAATATGCTATCATTATTTTGGTTTTCCAATTTTTTATTAATTTTAATTTTGTAAATTTATAAAATTTAAAAAATAAATAAATCTTGTCACCATTTAATGGTGAAGTGGGATGCATTTTAGTCATATTCTTTAAGGTGAAAGAATTTTAGTCATATTACATTATCAACTGTTTTGAGATAACATGTGATGTAAATGTTTAAAGATATGTCACTATCAATAAGTAATAATAAAGACTAAATTTGGAGGATGAAAACAAAATTTAAATACATTTACAATAAATCAAAATATGTTTTACCCTATATAAAACGTAGGTATGAGAACCATAACCAACCTAGTTTTACACTATGATGAAACAACTTTTCTTCCCTTTCCTCTTTGTTGCCTTTGTTGGATTCCTTTACGTGGTGTTGATATAATTAAAATAGAGCGAAATAATGTTAGTTTTTTTTTTTTTTTTTCTATTTTAGTTTTTATTATTTTGAATGTTTATAACAGGATGGAATAGTATACAGTGGATATTATTTCATTTTATCTAATATCTTTATCCCCTCTTATTTAGAAATATGAGATTAAGAGGGGTGTATTGAATTAGAATTTTAAAAGACTGCGAATTTTAACTTCATTCAAATATCTAAACATTTTTTTTTCGAATATCTAAACAATTAAGCTATCAACCAAGGAACATCTAAACAATTAAATGATAATTTATTTCACAATTGGGCTTGGATATGGTGTTTGGTCCATATTATTTTTAGCTTTCTTTCTCCGAAAAAGTAGGGTCCAACGGAATATTTTTAACAGAAAGCTTAATTTTTTTTATAAAATATATTTAAAATTTTGTTTTTTATTTAAAATTCCAAGACCCAAAAACACTCTGGCCAACAGTAATGTCTAAAAACCTTGTTATTCCTGCGGGTAGATTTATTCCTTTCTATGGTTTGTCCTCATCTTCCAGAAGTTCTTTGTATGTGAATTGCCTCCGAACTATTTTGTTTCAGCCCTTATATCATTTTTCTAATCAATGCAATTAACACACTTTAGTGCCTCCTTTGAAATTAAATCTTCTAAATTGACAACTCCAAAGTCGTAAGTTGTCATGTCATATCAACCAAAACCAATAGGCCCATTTGTTATAAATAAACAAATAGTTCCATCATGGACATACTAGTCTTTTAAGCCTAATATTACCTTCAATTTACAGGTCTCACTTTAAATTGATGATTATCAACCACAATACATAGATTGTACATTTATAGTCTTGAGGAAAAAGTATATGCCATGTTAGATTATTATTAAAAATTTCCTCACAAGTTATCAATACAATAACTAAATAATTACATAAGCAATTTTCACAATGTTTAAGGAACATAAATCAATTTCATTATGCTTTCAAATTACGAGTTTTATGTTTTACTACATTAAAAGTTGATACACTTTTATTTGTTTAAATTTAGTACAAGGACATGATTACACAAATCTTGTAATCCTATGGCATCTTGCAAATTACACAAATATCTCTTACAGCTAATTCCCTTTGAGTTCTATTCAAATCGACACCGGCCTAATCTCAAGAAGCTATTAAGAAATGAAATTACACACTATATATGAACAACTTAATTCCAGGAATGCAACTAATTAGAATTACTGATGAAAACCATTTATTTCACCAATGCCAGTGCCCCACAAGCAAGTCATCATTTGGTCTTCTTCACAAAGGTCCCATTGATTATAGGATTGAACACTACCTGCCATGTCCCAATCAGACCCTTGATAATCAATGGCAGAATTCACCGATGAACAGCTTGTGTACCACTGTCCACTCTCCACATTTGACGAGTCCCAAACACCAATCTTGCTTTCTTGACTTGTTCCCATTATACCCACATGCACATTTTGCCCACACTCATTCCCATTAGGTTCCTCATTAAGGGTTACACTAGCATTACCACTTGGATTTACAAGTACCCCATTTTCAAACATGAGACTAAGTTTCATAATTTCATCATTTGACCAATATTGACATGGTCCCAAGCCTTCAATATCCCCATTCATAATGGGGTATGATGCAACTGTACTACTTATGTTGCCCTCCATTTCATAATTAGTATCCATCATCGAAATTTCTTCAGCTTCTTCTCTATAACAACTTGGCATTGATTCAAAGGAGTTTTGGCTCAAAGCCATGCTCTTGTCCTCCTCCATTGCTGCCTTAATTTTTGTCCCTCTACCTCTTCTCTTGGAGGTAGCACAATTCACCATAGCCATGTCAATGGGTGGCAGAGACTCATTTAAAGATCTCATGAAGCAATAAATCTTTCTCCTCAAATGAGAGTTCCAATAATTCTTTATCTCATTATCTGTTCGTCCTGGTAAATGTCCTGCTATTACAGACCACCTACAAGTACAACCAAACAATTTTTTAAGTTCACATGAAAAAAAAAACAAAGGGAAAATAATCACTACAACTTGGATGTTGGGTTTTTTTAATTTCAAGGTTAAAAAACTTAGAACTATACTTCTTTACCTTTTCTTTTCAGAGTGCTTATTGATTCTTGAGTCAGTAAGTGGTGTATTTTATAATTTACTTTTTTCTTTTAAAATTTAATTATTTTTTTATATTAGTTATACATTGTTTTATTATACATATAAATATTATTTATTTATATTCTTAGAATTTTTCATAAATAAAAAAAAACTTTACAGTGTTCGAAAATATTTACTAATGTATTTGTCCCAGTACACCTGTCGTTCATGAATCTTAATTTTTGTTTAAAAAAAAAGGTACGTACATTCACAAAATAAGTACTTTGAGCAATTATATATAGTAATCATACTGTGATAATTGGATTTACAAAAGACTATTTTACAAATATAATTAAAATATAATACTTAATTTTTTAATAAACGTTGAAATAGTTATTAAACATCAATATTTTTTAAAATTTAATTACATCTAAATAAATTATCCTTTTAGTTTAATAATATTCCTTATTTTAATTGATAATTTAAAAGAGATTTAAATTTCAAGATGATAATTATTCTGATAAAGAGAAAAGAATTTTCAAGGCCAATAATGAATTTGGTACAGTGGTTGAGGTATCAAATGCAGTGAATAGGTCCACCTTGGTCGTGTAACATGCTTATTAATTTAATTATTTGAATATAAAAATGAGATATATATTTATATAAAAAGAAATATAATAAATTAATTAAATAATAGAAAGCTCAAAAAAACTAAAATATAAGAAAAGGTTTAGATGAATTATTCAATGACAAAAATAAAAAAAAATATTACATAAATTATTGTATCATTTTATATAAATATAATATCTTATATATTAGTACCATATATAATATGATATATGATTTAGTTTTATCTTTTCATTAACTTCTTATTTTTTATGCACAAATTAAAAGTATGTTTTAAATTAAAAGAAATAACTTTTTAATGTTTAGAAAACATTTTCCATGGAGGCATTTGCCCAATAGCTACATTTTAGGTGTTCCTCTAAATGATGAGGGATGACAATAAATAAAATATTGTAATATTTTTTTGTTTGCACTTTTAATATACATGTACTTGGACATATTTTTCTTTGTAATAGATTCAATGCCTATATATACAATACAATAACAATATAAAAAAATATATTAAGAAGAAAATTTAATTGGATATATTTTAATATATGACACAATTCTCAAGTGAGATGATATATATATATATATATATATATATATATACCTTTTCTACTTACATGTTTCTTATAGTATGACTTGTAAACATTTTTATTTGTGCAAAGATTAATTCAATCAAAACTATTCTTCTAAATCGTGTAAACTTGTTCTAATATATAGTATATTAAACCTATAATTTGTAGGCATCTACAAAATTTTGAAACTTAATTTATTATTTTTTACTTTTAAACTAACCCTATATAAAATCACTCTACATTCTTTTCTACTAAATAATCATTAAAATTTTAAATATATAAAATTTTACAACTACAATAAATAAGTAAATTTTAAATATATATCATGTATTTAACCTTTCAAACTTAAAAAGTCTAGCAGTACCAGTGCGCTTATACTTACAAAATTTTATGAATAATTATTTTACTCAAACTCAAACCCATTTGTCAACGTATGAATAGTTCTCAGAGACCTTTGATTATATATATACACACACACACTTTATCTCGTTAGTTTAGGCTTGGATACGAGAGTGGCCTCAAACAGTCAAATTCTTCCTTTTGTAAGATGGATAATCTGTTTCAAAATATTAGCTTAAAAAAATCTCATTCAAATTTTATGTGACACCATCGTGTACAATTTTATATTTATCTCTTTTTAAATTGACACTAAATAAGTTTATAAAATTTAAAAATAAAAGAGGTAAATACAAAATAATTCTGTTTTTTAGATTACAAAAAATTAATACAGTATATGAATATGCTACATCAGATATCATTGTTTTATTATTTCATATATTTTTTTGACATTTTTATGTATACTCAATTACACATTTCAAAAATATATTTTAAATATAAAAAATACATCTCTATTAGTGATTCAAAAAATATTTCTAACTAAAACATACAAATCAATTTATGATGCAGTTTGAAAGGCTCATTAATTGAATCTTCTCACATTAACAAAGAAGGTGAACTTTTATCAGTTACAAAACAACGCGCATACTCATTAACACAATTGGTGATTTTCGATCAGTTTCATGTTTTGAGAGACAATACTCTCCCTATTTTCCTTTCGGGCATTGTGTATTCAGACACTATGAGCCTGTTTGTCCAAGACTTCAAACTCAGTTTCCCAAATTCCCCAGCACTTGAAACCTAGTTTTACTATGCCTAAAAATATTGAGCTTCCTTGTTTCTGTTTTGAAAATATCTATTCATTAAAATTACAAAAATTTTCATTTTGATAAAACTCGCATTATTTTGGAGTTCATTCAATTATAATCGAGTTTGACAGTTATCCATTGTTTAACAAATTCTGATATTATGTCCAGATGCTTGATATTATCACACAATTAATTATAAATTATGTGTTATACATTTTAGTGTATTTTAACTTTTATTTAGCTGTATATATATATAATTAAAGGGTTTTTGATTGAGGGCGGAGAACCGCACCTATTGCCAAGAACAGCATGCAATTTGACAATGATCTCTTCCTCCTCCGGTGTGATGTTGCCTCTCTTCACGTCTGCTCTCAAATAGTTGATCCATCTCAGTCTACAACTCTTCCCACACCTCAACAAACCTTCATAAAATTCAATCAAACAAATCAATACAAACCCATTATACATATGATCATTAAATTAAACTTTATATATATATACATAGGATGCAGTACCTGCATTTTTGGGCAAGGATTTCCATGATCCTTCACCATTTTCCTGTATGTAATCGGTCAAAATTTTATCCTCTTCAGCAGTCCATCTTCCTTTCTTCAACCCCACTTTCTCACAGCAAGGAGCTCTCCCCATATTTGATTCTAATTTTTTGTTTCGACGAATCACTCACACAATACTCACTTTCACACACACACACACACACACACACACAAAGAGATTACTTACTCATGGCCCTCTCAGTAAGTAGTTTTGGTAGCACTACTGTGAATGGATGAGAAGGCCTTGCATGAAGATGCATCACTGTAGCAAATATATAAAGGAAGTGGGAACAACGACACGGACGTCTTACAGATAGCTTTGCTATGAGTAATTATTGTGGAACAGTACAGTTCAGTGAAAAGTTGCATTTTGCAGGTTAAAGTACATTACCCTTTTTCCCTTTTTCAGAGTTACTTACTATTATTACTTATTACTTGGGTCACAACTTTCACTTTCCCAGCACAAGATAAGCCATTGTACAGAATAAAGGAGTATATAGTAGTGGTACGTTTTATCCTTGGGCCTGCTGTAATGTCAGAGCAATAAATGGGGATTTGTTTTCACGACACACATAAAACCTACTATCATAAAATTTTGTTCTTACCTATCAATATGCATGCATCTTTCTTTCTTTTTGCTAAATACTTATATAATTCTTTATTCCACGTGAAATTGAGTTTTAATTGAAAAACAATATCAGAAACATTTGCAAGACTGTTTACGTTTTGTCCTCTGTTTTGTGAGAATATTCGTGTTCCTTATATGTAGTTGCTAACTTGCATGCCCTTTTTCCTGTGCGTACCCCTCGAATATTATTACTACTGGTGGTAATCATAGGCTTGAGTTTTGAAATAGATTAACGATATATCTTTCGTGTAAGTAAAACAATGAAGTTTCAGAACAAATTCAACGAGGTTCATTTTGGCACGTAAAAAGCGAAGCGTGTTTATAAATGTTTGTTTCCAGAGAGACCAACTTAGGCCTATCGATGCATTTTAAGATGAGTCAGATCAACTTCATTTTTAACAGCATGATGATGAAAGGAATTAGGGGAAGATGGTAATGGTTGTGAGCGAGTTGATGATGATTTGATTAATTAATTTTAAAATATTTAACGTAATTAATAAGATGCGTATTTAATTAAATTAATCTCAATAATAAATTTTGTGTCAGAGCATATATATTACAGTGTGTGAAATTTATTTTGGTAACAAACTATTAAACCTTAGTTCAAAATCTTTAACATATGATGGAGACCAGGTTGGCATTCCTAGCTACACAATAATAAATAAATAAATAAATTGAAGAAACACAGAAATGGAGAGAGAGAAAGGGTCCAATCCAATAGACAAGTTGTTTACATAACTCGTGGACAAAAATGTTTCAACTTACCCTTTCTTGGGGGACCTTGTTTGTGTTTCTTATTTTTGGTGAAAAAAATATATTATTTTAATGAAAACATTTACTACGTCTCATTCATATTCTTTACTAAAAGCTGCAAAAAGTGCATAGCAAAATTAATATTCATTTTACATTTTATAGTTTTTTATTATATAATATTATTTATTTTTATCTTATTGAGTAAAGGTATTTATAAAATTTTGTTTACATGTTTTTACTTATTTATTTATACATGAAGTAAAAAATTATACCTATTTAAGATATATATACGTCTTTTTTTGGCAATTTACAGCTTATCTTTGTTATAACTATCACATATGTAACAATTAAATTTTGTTGACATAATTAAGTGTTTATTGTTTATTTTCTACAAAAGTTAGAACTATTTAATCTCTATAAATAATTTGAACTATCGTTGGAGCTCAGCAAAATTAAGTTCCCAAACACGTCTGGTGGGGCGTTTTAATATAGAAACGATCCTATGGCTTCTTTAGGAAAGCTCATCATTTTTTAAGCCAAAGGATCCACCCACCCTTAGCCACCCATGTGATCTACGTCTGAACATTATTTTCGATAATAATATGCGTTATTACTTTATTTAAACTAAGAAAGAATATTACTAATAGTAATCTAAAAATACCGATTAAACAACACAAAATAAAATATGTTTATTTAAAATAATGTTAAAACTGTGTTTTAAATCAACTGACAAAATGCATTTGTAATATTTTTTAATAAAATTTTATTGTTTTTAATTTTTTAACCAGTATTTTTAAGATAAGGGTTAGCATTGAAGAATATTAATAAGTGTCTTAAAGATATATATTGATTAAGAAATTAATAAAAAATTCCTTAAAAATTCTATTAATGTATACCAAACGTGATTTTAATCATCAATGAATTTCTAATGATTTTTTTATTATTTCTTAACTAATGCTTTAAGGTCATTTGGTTAGTAAGATTTTTAAAATTGTAAAAAAATTTAACTTTAATTTTTAAGATTAAGTTTATGTAGTGTTTTTTATTAGGAAATAAAGTATTTATTATTATTTTGTTTTTTTAATACAACGAATATTTTTATTTTAAATGAAAACCTTTAGATGCTAAAATTCAATTTTAAAATTTAAAGTTTAAAAAATATAAAATTATTAATTCTACGTGTCCTTATTACAAGACTTCTGTAAAGATATTTTAATGCTCTTTAATATAAGATTTTTTTAATAAAATTTTCAAAATATTTATTACTTTTTATATGTTTTTGCTTCATAAACGTTGAGCCTATTTAATTTCGCAATAATTAAAGTGATAACAGTGTTTGAATTTAAATAGAGATAAACTTAAAATGTAATTAGTTTTTTAAAATCTAGTATATGGACTAATTTTAATAACTTTTCTTAATATGTGTGATTTCAATGAAAAAAACTTATAAATAAGAGCAGATGGAGTAGACAATTATCTCATTAGATGAGTGTTAAACAAAGATAAAGTATAAAAATGAAACACTCAAGAGTACAAATTGATCGATATTCTTGTAAAAGATATTCTAATACCCAAGTTAAATAGGATATTTGCAAAGTAAAATTATATGTAAATTAGCTTACCTTAAAAAAAAAGAGCTTCTAATCTCCTTTACTTATAATAAGAGTAAGAGTGTTGTAGTTAAGTGAGTTCTCCATCACTAATGGCATAAGATGGGTAAAGGGAGATCTAATATAGCCATGGAATTGAGTTTAGAGTAGGTCAACCCGACACAGAAATTTGGTAATCAACCTAGGTTGTGATATAGGAGCAATCAGTAGAAGTCTTCAAAATTAAGCTAAATTGTTTAAAATGAAACAATAAAAAATTACATTTATAATATATAATTAAATTACCTTTTCTATTATATTCTCATGTAAAAACTAATTTTTTTTTCTTAATCTTATCATTAATTTGCATGAAGGTAGTACTTCTATTTATTTAGTTTCTCGCTTTCTACCAACAAAATTACCATTATTTTACAAGTTTAGTTCTTCGATTTCTTTCTTTTTTATTTTTTTAAGAAATATATTCAAACTTTTGGTTTTATTGAGAATCACCTTTTTTTATTTAAATTAAAAGTTAAATAAAAATAGAAACCATAATAAATAAATAATTAATTAAAGACTGATTCAAAGTAATTGTTTTTATGTATTTGAATTTAAAACAAATTGAACAACAAATATTCATAACAACCAGTGACAGATATAGAAAGCGTATCATTGATCAGTTAGACCGAGATGAAGGGTATCAACTTGAAAATAATTACCCAAAGTGGTTGAGGGTTCCATTGATATCCTTGGAAGACCTATTCTAGGTTGACTCCATATTAGACACCACACTATTAGTATACCATATATATTTTCTATTTTAAAATATAATAATCTATTTTACTCTATAGTTATATTTGATTCATCAAAATATTATGATATCCTTAAAATTATAATTATATGGACTTTAAATATTTAGTTTGATAGATAAACCCGTGTCATAACAGAATATATGTATTTATATATTGTTCCTATAATTTAAGGATTAAATTAAATTGATACACTATCAATAACTTACGTAATTCCCTTTATTTAAAAATTTATATCAACCGACATTTGTTCTTTTAATTTAGTATTGTGGAAATATTTGGATGTTTTCATCTTAGTATGTCCTACACAATAAATGACGGGCACATTGCTGGTTTGAAAGAGATTATAGCTACCTTTTCTTATTATGTGTGTGTGTCTATATATATATATATACTCTTTAGGTAAAATTAGTATTAAGATATGATAGATAATTGTTTCAAAATAAAATTTCCAATTTAATATTTTTTTTATAAAATTACTATAATGCTTATTAACAGTTCAATAAGAATGAGGATTAGAACATGTATATATTACGCTGTTCTCTTTTTTATTGTAAAGTTATAAAACTTCATTTCCAACAAAATTTTAAAATCATCACAATTTAATCTATTTTAAAATTTTCATTAAAACACCACGAGAAAAGAAATCATAGTCTAATTTCATTAAATTTAACTTTTACCAGTAATTTAATTTTTTTTGTTATGCCTTTATTTTTTTGAAAAGTTTATATTATATTTTGTGTTATGCCTAAATATTGATATTAATATTTTTAAATTTTTTTAGGATTATTGTAGAATTGAATAAGATAAAAACTTATCATTTCTAACTTTGATTCTTTTCTCTTATTTTATTCATATTTATACTAGGCTAAAAAAACAATTTTATTAACCTTAATATTTAAGATTGATTTTAAGCATATAAAGATAATATTTTTTTATTAAAATATAATATCTATTATATTTTTACATTATACAAATATAAAATTTACCAATAAAAAACTTAGTAATGTTATTTTTTATATATATTTTTATTAATTATACATGATTTATTTCTAATATTTTTTCTAAATTGCAAGTACTTATCAAGACATGGACTAAGAATAGAGTATTGCGAAGAACACTTGTCACTTGGGTATTCAATTGCGGAAATAAACTGAATCGTTAACTTGTTGTTTTCTATCTCCATCAATCTTTATTGTATATCATAATATTATATGACCTAACCTTCCAAGCAATTTTAACACCATATTTTCACGTGCATTGTCTATGCTAAAGGTGAAAGAGCAAGTGTTTTGTCATGGTAAGTCTTGTTCCCGAAACCAGTTATATATTATCTGCCCTAAGTACTGTCTACTTACAAAGGAATGTAACTTTGGTTGACTGATATCGTGTAGTAAGTCATCTATTTGTTAGTGAATTTGTCAACATCAATATGACCCTTCAATTGGAAA